AAATAAGGAAGGACTGTAAATTCTAAAACAGGAGGTATTTTAAAATAACTAGCTGAGTGAAGACCTAGAAGCTTATGTTTTATCTCAAATTATTTGTAAACAACATTCTGTCTCAGAGCTTGGTATGGAGTTACTGAAAGAGCTGAATGTAAGCCAGACCAGGAAGATGTGAGATGAGTTTATAGGAAACAGACCCTGTTCACTCAGACTTCCTTAAACAAAGTTTGCAGACTAGGGTCACAGACCAACAAAGATAAAATAATGATAACAAAATAAATATTTCTGCTTGATATCCATTGCTTACATATGCCTGCTATGTAAAAAATGTAGTGAAACAGTCTTTCATCTCTGTGTAACTTCGTAAGCTAATGTTTTGCCTATTTTTTTGCAGAAAAGATTGGTATCCCATGTAAAGCATTAGCAAAATCTGAATTCCACTGGCAGGATGGTAGGGGCTGTACTGCCTGGGCTGCCCTCTCTGAAACTTTCCTGTCACTTACACTTAGCCAACTCTCACGCGTTCTTTGCAACTTTCTCCCTTCCAAAGTCTTTCTATTTAGTGCAACGCGGAGGAGGTCGCACATGGTTCGATGAATTGTCAGCATGGTTGATCTGGTGGGGGAAACAGGGATGTCACACCCATATCAGCAGCTGTCCTTGCCTTGGCTGGCTGGGGATGCTACTGGGGTGCCCTTCTGCGTGGTGATGTCTTGTTCGTACCTGCTTTTGCCATAGTCCTTCCATCCTAATAGCATGGGGTGTACTGTGCCCTGTCTTGTGTGATGCCCCTACTTTTCTCTTCTTACTCCTTTCTTTCACCCTGAGAAAACCAAGGGTGGGGTCTGCTCCCATGTCCTGGAAAGCTGAGGAGGAGGTGAAAGGCCAGAGTAGCACAGATACAGACACTTGAGTAGGTGTTCTTCCTCCCCTTTCCATTCTCACTCCAGCTCCAACTCCTAGGTCTTCCTGCTGCAGCTTGTGCAGCTTTTGCAGGGTATCAGTCATAGCTATTGGGACTGTTTTGTTTAGAGATACTTCTTGTAGGCCAACACATTTCCTTGAGGAGGGAAGTGAGAGAAGGCAAAATGCATCTTAAAAGATGCACAGCACAGCCAAACCTAAATGGAATTTCATGAGATAAAGAATGGACACTTTTCTTTCTGAATTTCAAAAGATTGCTGGAAATAGTTTAATTTGAGCTTCTCAGGGGGAAAAAAAATCACAGGAATTTTGCTTGAAAGAAAATGCTAGACAGTCTAATCATAAGAGAGCCTACTATTTCATCTTATACCTCACTTCACTCTGTGCTTTATCTGCTTCAAAGTAACTACCAGTTCCATGAGACTTGATGCAAAACTTTCAAAATAAACAACCATAAAAGCTTGCCCTATTTTTCATTTCCATTATATTTTGCAGTGAAAGGAAACAGGCAGTGAATTATTACAAAATCTGTCTAAAATGACAGCTTATTCTGTAAACGCTGTGACGTACCATAGAGGGTGATTGAAGGAGATTCTGCTGCAATGTGATCACCAATTGCTCACTTCCATTTCCACTGGTCATGAATTGTCTATTGAGTCAATGCAGCCAATATTCCTTAAATCACACCCAGGATCAAATTCTTTTTTATCCAGGAAAGGTCTTTATCATATATATTTTGTTTCAAACCTTCTTCTTCATGACATTAGTAGTACTAAGTACCAAGCTTAGTGCTACTGAAAAGTAAAAGCAAAATATATATTAGCCTGAATTATGGGAGCAGCTGAGTGAACTGTATCATGCTGGCATGTGCTTTGACTAGAAGGAAAGGTCTTTTCACTCTACAAAACATTTCAATAGACTGCTTAGAGTTCATCTGCCCATCTTAAAAATCTGGAAAAATCAAATATAAATGTTTCTAGTTATGGGATGGTAGTAATGGAAAGGGAGAAATGGGAATGCTGCTTTCCTTGCTGAACAGAATAAACAGACTTGAGAGGAGAATTTTTCGTAGGACCGAAGATGCTGCATGTCAAGAAAAGAGCAAACAGGAATAGGATAAAAGTAGTGATCAAGGCGGAAACCCTTTCCTCTGCGAAGTGGCAGCACAAGCATACTTGGTTCTCTGGCAGAGAAAGGAGCACAATTACGAATCTCATTCAGGGAACTGGAGCGGTGAATACTCCAGAACACAGTCTATGTGCCTGCATGTGAACTAAGATATTCTGAATACAGAGGTAGGACAAAGGAAAAAGTTCCTTCTTTTGGCCCATAACTGTCAAGCAATTATAGCAGGAAAAGAATTTCTAAGCTGAATTGTGACAGATAATGCAGACTTTAAGGAGTGGTAGGGGAGCAGAAGAAAACTTCCACCAAACTATGGGCTCCTCCATGGGTCATGGGATTGTGGGGATTTCAGGGATTGGTAGCTGAAGCTGCCTGGAGAGAGGGGGCATATGTAAGGTAAATTTTTATACTGAATGCTAACATAAACTCATATTTTAGACAACAATGAAAGTGCCCTTGTCATATATTTATTTGTCTTGTATTTCAAGCAAAGTATTTGATATTCTCCTGTTTAATCATTTTTTTTCTGCAGTCAAAGAGGCAGCCAAAACTAGTGATAGCACAAGTAAAACAGAAGGGTTTCTAAAGTAAAATTTATTTGTTTTTCATCTCCCATGAAATATAACTCTCCACATCCAAAAAATGAAAAACAGTAAGGGATCTGTTCTCCTCTTTCTGCACACGTGTAACTCCATTTAGCAGCAACAAGATTAACACACACCCGTTAACTCTTTGAATGCCTGCCTTCTGCACATTAAGAGCAGCCAAAATCTGCAGTAGATGGATGCATGTATGTCAGTAGGAAGTTGAATTTTTTACGTTTTCACACTTAATACTACTGTTGGTTTTTCTTAATTTTCTTCAAAAAAGTCCCTTCTATGACTTAGCAACTTTGTTTATTTTTTTGTTAAGTAGATGGATTTACTGTTCCAGTAGGG